TTGGTTAAAAAAGTCTAATCTTCAATGTATATTTTGAATGTTTCATTTCACTCACTACATTTTTATTATGAAATCATATTGTAGATTATCAGGAGAAACATAAGCTTAAAAGAACTTAAGAAACATCTCTCATTACTTACGTGATGACATGAATGACATATTGGTATTTGAGATAATTTCTACTTAATGGTTTATTGTATTTTATGTTATTTTTGGTTTTGTCTGTCCCCTTTGAACTCTATTGGAGCAGCTAAAATTCATGCAGAAAAGTTTTGAAACTCTATATCTGATAAGCACAAAGCTTTGTCCTCTGAATGGTTGTTAGATTCCAAACTTTAGCCAAATTTGATCACTTGTGCTTCCCTTCCTCACATTACCACTGTCCAGTCTGCCTCTCTTCTCTGCTCTGCAATTTCTTTTCCTGCAGAAGGCTATCCATTTTGTTCTTGGGTATTTATATATTCCAAAGCATTTTGCCCACATGTATGTAGTAGCAAGAAGTTTATAGAATTAAAATCTGAAAATGAATATGCCTTTTTAACCCCTGATTCTAGCAGAATGGTAAACTAAGATAACCTAATTTTTTAACCTCGTCCATCTTCCTGCCAGGACTTGAAGTCAAAAGGTATGTATGTCATGTAGCATATTTCTTCCCAAAGATCTACATCTGCAGGCTGTTAACAGATACTGTGAGAAGAGACGGCAATCTCTTTATTTGAAATGTTTCTGGGATAAATGTCAGAAGACAAGCAGGTTCTCAATGTTTCTACCAATAAGTTACTCAAAAAATCTTCAACCAAGCACTCAGCATCTTCAGACCTAAGCCTCAAATCCACAAATAAACTTGATCTACTAGGCTGAACTATAAAGTAATTGCTATTTTTATGGGATATGAGGGGCCTGAGGCTCCTATTTTTCCCTTAACTCATCTTATTTGACCATCTACCTCATAATATAGCAAGAGCCATGTTAATGCAAGAAATTGTTTGGGACAAGAACAACAACCAAACACTGGATATGAATTGGTACCATGGATATCTAGAGCAGTACGGCATTGGGGTCTAGGAACGCATCTGTTCTCTCCTTAGAACCCTCTCTGACACCTACCTATAAGCAGCAGCAGCTGTACTAACCTCCAAGTGTTGGCCTCCTAGCTCAGCCTGATACCAAAGGTCTACCACCTGTGAGGCTGTAACATCGAGGCCTCCTTCAAGGTCCATTAGTAGGATAACCTCAAAGGTGTGTGATGTAGGCACTTCCTCCGCAGACTCAGCGTGTCTCCTGTCATTAGGTCTTACTTAGTCTTTCAGTGAGGTGATGCCTTCTTTGTTCTCCAGTTAGCCAAAGTATGGTACCTGGTGCCCTCCCGCTGCCTTAGGGAAGCCATTCGCTAAGCCACTCATGGACTAAGAAAAGAAAGAGGCCTCTTTGACTTGTATCTTAAATGGAATGAAATACATGTCTCAAATGTCTCAGTATTAATTACAAACCAAAGGCATAGTTTTATGTCTCTGAATGGATTTTTATTAGAAAACTATGATGCTACTGCTGAGGGTATAGCTCAGCGGGTAGAGTACGTAGGGCACATGAAAAAAAAAGCTATGGATTCAAACCTTAGTACTACATAGACCAGGTATTGTGAAACAGGCCCGTAATCTCAGTCCTCAGGGGATGGAGATCAGAAGTTCAAGGTCATCCTCCTCTGACCTTGAGGATGTGCTATGAGTGGAGGCCAGCATGTGTTACATGGGACTCGTTTTCAAAATAAGTAAGTAAGTGAATGAAATAACGTTACAGTAGGTTGCTTGAAAATTCGCTGCTTTTAACTGTCAGTCTGCTACAAACCACAGCAGTGAGACCAGGAGGCAGAGTTTAATGAGAAAAGCTGATGCTTCGGGGTTGAGACTGACAGAGCAAATGAGACTTCTTCAGGCAGCAGCCTTTCAAATTCTGGAAGCAGAAAGACTCTCATGACGTCTCTGTCCTGTCAAATTCTGATTGTTTTGGGTGTTCTTCTTTTTCTTGTTTTTATTTATTTATTTTTGTCATGAGTGTTGTGTTATTCTTATATACACTGAATAGGAAGTAACCTAGTGCTTTTTTTTTTTTTTTTTTTAGAGTTCAGCTTTTGCTAAGGGTGGATTTTAGGATGGACACAATTCAACGTTATTTTCTCAGCCTGCTAAAGAGCACAGCTGGAAGGAGGTGATTCCTGGCTGTGGAAAGAAGTGAGTTTGTTTTATATTGTTTTGTTTTGCTTTGTGACACATGCAGAAAACTTGGGACTGCTCTTCTAACTGTTCCAAGATGCTTCCCACTCTGATTGGCAGGAAGGGGGGATGCTTTCCTTGTCACAGGAATAGCCAGCCTGTCCTTACAGAGTCAGTGCAGCATTTAACTCTGTGAAGAATCCTTGCTACCTCACTCTTTTAACTTGCAGCGAGCTTCCTTCCTGACCTACATGGTCCAACTCTTCCTACTGGCACTTTGCCCAGGGCCCACCCTGTGTATAAGTCAGCACTGGACCATTGAAAAGAAATACCCGAGGCAATTAGTTTATAAAGACTTTGGCCTGTATTTAGTAAGTTCTGGTCCAACTTCAATGCTATCCATTGCTTTCAACCTCTGACAAGGCAGCATATCAGGGTGGAAATGTAAGGCATGGTTCAAATGACTTTCCTCGTGAACTAGGAAGCAAAAATAGAGGAAGCGACTGGGGCCCACAGTCCCCTTCAAAGATGGACCCTTAGTAAGCTAAGGGCCTCCCACTTCATCCTGCCTCTGAAGGGTCCACTGTCTCAAAGGCTTAACAGTTCCTCTCAGTTGATCAAGTCTCTCAAACGCCAAAGGACACTGTTCCACACATGGCGCCATTACAGTCACTTAACAGCTCATGCAGAATAGCCTCTCCAAAGCCAACAAGAAGTAGAAGAGGCTCCTGCATCCAGAGTTCGCATTTTTACCGGACACTTGAGAGAGAATGGACCCCCCCCCAACAAACGCCAGTAATAAAAACAAATGATAGCACGTCTCAATGTAAAACAAATTTAAATTTAAATTTAAAAATAAAGCACCTTGAAATGTACCAAAAGAGTCTAACTATAGAGCACTGCTGTTGAGACCCCTTAAAATTACTCATTTTCTTAACTACTTCCACATCTTTGAAATTTTTCTCTAATCTACAGAGAGAATGAAGAGTCAAATGTGGGGTCTGAACTGTGCCTGATGCCTATTGGTACCTGTCCTCAAATCCTACGACCAGCAGTTGGTGGTTTCCCAAGGGGAAAAGCCATCTCCATAACCAATCCAGAATAAAACCCGGCACATACATATACCCCATGCTTCTTAACAAGGTCGTTGGGATAATTTAATGAAGAAAAAAAAATGTATGTTAACCTACATTGTTCTTAACCAAATATTACTTTGAAAGTTGTCTGAAATATAAGATAAGCACTTATTATATTAATTAAAAGAAGAATCCACGGGGTACAGTTTTATGGGTTTAGCTACCAAAGACAATGAAGCTACCAACAGCAACAATGAAGGGGGATTATTTGATTCCTGATGTGCTTTGGCAAGATATCTTTCTTCACACTCCCATGGTAGACAGCTTCATTGTACCCATCTTCCAAATAGGCCCGTAGTAGCCGGTTGGCTGGTCCTTCCATTTAATCCTGTCAATCAAGGTCCCTTTGCCATTAAATATTTTCCTCAAGTGTTTCCTTCCTGTTTCAAAGCAGCTTTTGACAACATGGCTACTACCTCAGTCAGCTCTATCGTGTTTGGAGTTTCTGCTACACACAGGCATAGCATATCTTCGATTAATGGGCCATGCTTGCTTGTTCTCATGTGACTGTTTTTATAAAAGACACTGTCTACCTCTAAATGACAGAGTGATCATTTGGTACTTGGCATTTATTGTCTAATGGTTTGGTCTTGCGGCTTTTTTGTTTCCATCTTCACAGTTTGTGATGAAGTTGTTTCTTAGTTACAGAAAAAAAAGGAGGGGGTACTTACCATTAACACATCTAGTCTGTTAATGTAATGAAAAGGAAAATGTGTGACTCTATTTCCAGGTAGGAAATAATATTTTCTCCTCAAACCTCATTCCTCGGCACCAGTGTCGATTCTGATAATTTTTATAATGACTCAAATTAATAGGGTAAAAGACAGTTCTGTTGTGATCAGTCAGTGCCATGCCCCTAGTACAGAAGTATGAGCTGGGCTTCTAGGGCTCATTAACTCTTCTTCTTCCCTTTACACTTTACCAGCGGGGAGACACCATTGTCTAGAGCAGATGCTTCTGAAGAAGTTGAGCCTGCCTCCTCCGCTTCTATTGTACATGCTTCTCTCTGAACCGGCTGCTCTCCTCTCCTCTGAGATCACTTCTGGCCCCACCCACCACATTTTCTTCCAGCACTCGCCCCTCCAGAATGCGCTTGAACAGTCAGCGTGGCCTGTGGTGTATGACCCATCGCTTATGATCGATCTCTGCAGTTCCTCCAACTTCTGGGTGCCTTGCACATATGGATGTGCCACGCACGCACAGTACGCTGTGTCAGAGTTGTCTCCTGAGAAAGCCTGAAAACAGGACGATCAAGAATCCATGCTACGTGCGTGACAGATAAAGGACACAGGACCAAACATGTCTTTACATGTGATAGCAGCTGGAATAGGATAGATTTAACAGGTGATAGATGGTAGTAGGTAGGTAGATAGATAGATAGATAGATAGATAGATAGATAGATAGACAGATACATACATACATACATACATACATACATACATACATACATACACAGACACACAGATACACAGACAGCTTATTGAACACTTGTTGAGTAAGTGAATGTGATGTGACCAGGGAAGATTTTATGAATAAGATCCTCTGTGTTGGTTACAGTGGGTTGATTCTGGACAGAGAGGGATGGAATACAGATAGTGACAGCTGAATCTAATTAAGTGCAAAGTTGTATGTGTGTACAGAAGGTCAGCTTACCACAGAAAGGCTTTCGTGGAAATATAGCCCCACGTCATAAAAGTTGCCACCATGATGAACTGGGCGTGTTCTTGTCTTCAGCTGCGATGTTTGACACCACTGTGAAACACAACTCCCCAGATGACTGAGTAGAGACACTCTAAGGTGATAGGAGCCTTGGGGGGCCTTGTCCTTGAGGCCCCTGATACATCTGATCTGTATTTGTAGACGAGGCAACTGAGACTGCTCACCCTACATAAAAGGCAGAGTTCTTGAATTACACAGGAACTGGGTAAAACCAAGCAATTAGCAACAATGGGCTTTTCAGAGGGTAAAAAAGGGAGACAATTATTTTTACTCAACCTGTAATTGTCAGGTATTAGCAATGATAACAGACAAGGGCCCACAATGTATAATTAAGAGGTCAAAAAGCAAACTCCCCGATGATGGGAGGGAAAGTTTAACTAGTGTTTAGGCGTGGTATGTTAATAAGCTGTGACATCAGAAACCATTAATCTATTATAGTAAGATGGAATTAGCTGGAATCCAACACTTCTAAAACCCACACAGCATGCCTGCTAAGATATTGGGGAATGGGAAACCCCAGCAGCGAGCCTCACACATGGCATGAGAAAGGTTACACTCATAAACACCACTAACCACAGATAATAATGCCACATCGATAAGTGACCTGCAAAACATGTCAGACTCACAGCTTGCCTGATCCAAAATAGTCTCATCTTGTCAGCTAGCTCCACAGGCTTCGGCTGAGAGCCCTCCCACGACAAGGAAGGGGGAAAAATCAAGGTCTGAATCTCAGCCCAGGGCATGTAACTGAGACAGGGATGAGCATTTTAATGGGACATTCAAATTTCATTGCTTCATTCACAGTGACTGGAGCAGGCCATTTCCATGTTCAATTATTTTCAAGAAGTTTATACAAATTAATGATTTTAGTGAACTACTATTTCGGATTAAGTAAACACTGAAGCAGGATTGTTGAGAATTTAGATGTCATTAAGTTTTATTTCTAGACTCACTCACAAGTCCCTGCATAATTCAACCTTGAAGAATTCACTGGTACTTTGTACTTCAATCACAAATAATTTTTAAGAGCTTGTTACTCTTCTATCCAGGGTAGTAGTACCACTATGACCAGGTTAATCTATAGTTGACAGGAGAAAGATTTATTAATCCTGCCTAGAATTTATTGAGATAATGTAAATTTCCATACAGATAGTATGTTCCTAGAATTAAGTAGACAAAAAAAAAAGTTGTTCAGTTTCTTTTGTTTTTCCATTCAAATCATACTTAAAAACTAATCAGAATAACAATTATTTTTGGTTTAATTAGAAAATCTTAATTAACAACAAAGACTTAACCTTAATATTTTGGTTTCCAAAAATTTTTAAAAATTAACACCATCTGAATAAATAAGACAATCTTTTTAGACCTCAAGGCAGGATTACTGATGCAGGCAGACGGAGTTATTAAGCACATTCTAAATTAAACGCCTCTATGAATTTTATACTGAAATATATTGTGATAGTTTTGCATGCCAAATGTGACATTTTGTGTTTTAGATTCATCTTGTGCAGTAATTTTGGAAATGTCATACAAACAAAGATTTTTGTCATTTACCAACAGAATTACTATGCATGGCCGCCTAGTCATCTCTGTGCCGGCTCTTGTGGTTGTTTCAAGTCAGCAAGCCATAAAGAATCTTTATCTCTCTGAAACACAGCAATTTGGAAGATAATCGAATGGTGACTAGGGGGCAGAAATGCCAGTCTGAGGAATTATACCACAATCTCTCTTGCATTTACAACCTCCATCAAGCGTGTGTCAGGCGGAGTAGGAGAAGGGGAAATGAAGATTCATCAAATCTCAAGCCTGTGTCACTTGCTTGGTGGCAAGCCTACCTCCTAGTATAGCTGTCACTGACTCTGGTCATACTGGCACCTTCTGCTGAGGAATGCCACCAAAATTTCCATGGAAGGTTTTTGGCCTGTGTTTTAGCATAGTATTGGCATCAAACACATTTGGTAAGGCCTGCAAGCTCTGAAGAACCCTTTATGAGAAAATGAAGAGTTAAGGACAGTCACACAATATAGGTCATCATCTGAGATTTTGCATCAGGAGAAACCAAGCAAGAGTGCCCACCTTCCAGCTAGCTCCTTCTGCTCTTTGGGGTTCTTTCCTCGCTTCTGGAAATGAGCACTGCTCTGTGATACTTCCCTTTGTATGAGGATTGTCATCTGCAGTGCACGGCTGGCTCAGAGCTCTGCAGCAGGTATGAGAAGGGAGAGAGAGAAGAAAGAAAAGATATTGAAAATGAGGCATGAAGAAAAGCCTTTGCTTTCAGATTCACAGTTCAGTCTGAGGTTTTTCTTGGATCAACTACGGCTTAAATGAGCACCACATTACAGGTGTTGTGCTATATAAGGTACTGAGCTCTCAACAATTAAAATGCCAATTGTTTCAGAAATAACCAGGAAGTCAAATGCAGTTGTCTCCCTGTATCTGAAAGGAATGGGCTCTGGGACTCTTCATGAACAGCAGAATCCACAGAGGCTCGTGTTTCGTCCATAACCTGGCATAGTATATACACAAATTATGCACACATATATTATATTTTTCAACATTTTATTTTAACGTTGTGCGCACATACAGCACGTACATATACATGCCTTTAACTGCAGGCTCCCTTGGGGGTCAGAAGAAGGCATCAGATATCTTGGAACTAGAGTCACAGGTACCTCTGAGTCACTCAATGTCGGTGCTGAGAAGTGAACTCTGGTCCTTCACAAGACCTTCAAGTCCTCGGTACCCCTGGGCCATCTTCCTAGCTATACTTCTTACTCTAGCGATTATACTTTAAATAATCGCTAGAGCAGTGGCAACCTTCCTAATGCTGCGACCCTTTAATACAGTTCCTCATGTTGTTTTAATTATTTTTGTTGCTACTTTATAACTGTAATTGTGCTGCTGTTATGAATACTAATGTGAAATCTGTGTCTTCCAATGGTCTTAGACAACCCCTATGAGAGGGTCACCTGAGCCACAAAGGGATCAGGACCCAGAGGTTGAGAATCACTGCCCCAGATGGTTTATTAATGGGATGCTTCATGAATGTAAAATTTATATTAAATAGCTGTTATGTCCCATCGTTTCTAGAGCATAGCAACAGAGCAAACGTTCTCTAAGGCTCACTAGGACTAAAGCCATCATAAATCTAACTGTATGTTCCATCTTTAAGGGGCTGAATGCATAGTTGAAACCACAGATATGGAAGGCCATCTATATCTGATAAAATTTTTTGTCTTTTCATTTTTCTATCCATCCTTCTTTGATCCTACAAATTGTTCATGAAACCTTGAGAAAAGGTGTTTATTTAAAATAGATGCTTAGCTGATATGACATAAACATTTTATGGCTTTAATGCCAGGGCCAGAGATCCAGATCCAGATCCATATCCATTTCTCTCCTTAAAAAGTTCCACAGGCCCTTGCTCTCTTATTCATATGTACTCCCTTTATTCAAGACTCTTCTTTGTTGTTGACTTTTTTGTTTGTTTACTTCTCAAATCCTGACATCATCTGCCTGCTTTCCCAAACGCATTTGAATTAAGAAGGATCTTATCTCCCTCTTCTCCTGACTTAAAGCTTAATTCCATCAGCAGGGCCATCTGTGACAATGACTGTACCCCCACCAGAAGAATAGTCTTTTGGGGTCTCACTGCTGATTCAGTTTCTGTGATACAAATTATCTCCCTTAATGTGGTTAGATCTGCATTGACATAGGGGTTCATTAGGACACCCATTTGCTGGCAATTCAATTTCAAATTAAATACACTTTGTTGTAAATTTTATTACTTTTAAACTACTGTATCTATTGTCTTTAATGGCCCTATTATACAGTTATGAAGGTAAACAGATTTCATTAGCAAACATCAAGCATTCTATATTAACCGCAATGATATGGCTTCCCTCAGTTTCTTTCTTTGTTCCTTTGGTGAGAATCACAAGGGGCTAAGAAATATCCTAAAATTTTAATCTGAATAATTAGATGCTATATTCATTATTATCACTATCACTTGAAAGAAAAAAAAAACTAAAGAAAATATGGTCTCTGGTAACAAGCACACATTTTTGTAATTAAGGGTTTTTTAAAAGTTATTTCCTGACAGTTAAAAAGGTATGAGTACAAGGGAGCAGATACCCAGAGGTTGCTGACTCAAGCTCTTATAAAGCATTGAAAATGGCCCCCATAGGCTCACTGGGATTGTCACTATTGGAAGATTGGGCCTTGTTGGGTAGATATGGCCCTCTTGAAGGAAGTGTTTCACTGGAGGTGGACTTTAGGGTTTCAAAAACCCAGCCCAGGCCCAATGTCACTCTCTCTTCCTGCTGCCTCTGGATCTGGGCATAGAACTCTCAGTTTCTCCTCCAGGACTATGTCTAGCTACATGGTGCCATGCTCCCCTCCATGACAATAACAGACTCACCCTTTGAAACTGTTAGCCAGACCCAATTAAACGTTTTCATTTATGACAGTTGCTATAGTTATGGAGTTGCTTCACAGCAATAAAACTCTAAGACCCAAGGTGGATCATCATTCCTGTCTCGCCCTCTGGTCAAGCATTATTAACTTCATGATGATGAGTGTACAAACATTCTCCACACACACAGGAAGCCAAGTTCTAAGAGACAACCCAACTCCCACATGCTGAAACCCAGAGATGCTCAAGAGCTTTGTTGACAATGGGGTGGTGTCTGCCTCCAGCCGACACACACAGGCTTCCTTACAGGGAAAGTCAATTCCACCTGACTTACACTAGTGAATATAATGCAGAGTCTATGCAAATAGCCTCTGTGCTCTGTGGTATAGAGAAGTGATGGGAGGGACGGAGACAGCCGTGCATCTTCAGGATATATTTTGGGTTTATTAATTTTTTTATCAAATACTTTATTTTTATTAAGATTTATTTCCTTTTAAATTATGTGTTTAAACGTGTACATGTGTGGGTATGTACATGTGAGTACAGTGTCCCCAGAGCCCAGAAGAATGTGTCAGAACACCTAAAGCAGTAGTTCTCAACCTGTGGGTTATGACCCTTTTGGGGGTCAAACAGCTCTTTCAGAGATCTCCTGCGTATCTGCTATTTACATTATGACTCATAACAGTAGCAAGATTACAGTTAGGAAATAGCAATAAAGACGACTTTATGGATGGGGTCACTACAACATGAGGAACTATATTAAAAGGTTGCCGTCTTAGGAAAGTTGAGAACCACCGACCTAAAGCTTGGGTAGCAGGTGAATTCTGACTCACCCAATGTGGTTAATAGGGACTAAACCTAAGCCTTCTCTGCAAGAGCAGTATTTGCTCTTTGCCGCTGACCTGTCATTCCAGCTCCTACAAATACTTTGTAGCCGTGTGAATGTGTGGACACTGCAGTTACAAAAATCTGGTTGTTTATGTGCTGTGTTGTATTGTTAAAACCTCCCCACTAGTCTACAGACTAGATATAACTTCTGTAAAATACTAGCTTCTATTCTTCATGACTAGAAACATAAATTATTTATTTTTAATACAAAGTAAAACCAATGCTGTAAATACTATAACTTCTATTTTCTACTTGGTACATTATATACATACTTTTCTATTTGCTACAGTTAGATTTTTAGGTGTCTCTAGCATTTAATTCTATCAACTGTAATTTATTTAAATGGCCTTTTATTGCTGGCTGTTTAGGTTAGTTCCTATTTTTGCAGTTGCACATTAGCCCGGAATTGGCTCTCCGACATGTAAAGTTTTACAGACTTCCCTGGCAATTTCCCTAGTACAAAGCCCTATCATTAGAAACGTTGGGCGTGGAAGGGATGCTATTCCATGTTCTGCTGGTCTTTAGTTGAGTACAGAAATGACACCTTAGTGACATATAATCCTGACTGTGTGGCGAGTGTCTCAGACACTACGTAGCCTTCTCAGAGAGACGGGCTCCACTCTGCACTATTTGCAGTGCAGTCAGAACACTCGCTAAGGGACGTAGCGGTAAAGAGACAGCTTGTATACACAGCGGTCTTCTCAGCCTCAGCACCGCTGACATTTTTAACCCGGTAACTCTTCATTGTGGGAGCTGCTCAGTGTACTTCAGGGCTATTTGGTGGGATCCTGCCCTTGGCTCACTGAATACGCCTAGACAACCTACCTAATGCCAGCTTCCATAATCAAAATGTCACTACAGTTACAAAATCGGGGTGACATTCATCCTTGCTGAGAACCACCGATGTTCTCAGAGTGATGCACACTGAGTGTTCAGCACGTTGAGAGAAACTCTTTCAGACATACTTTCTTCCTCACCTCAATCAAGCCCCTGGAGACCCAACAGGGGGTTATCATTCCTGCCTCATGGACAGGCAACTGATACTGATGGTGAAGTATGCTGACAGCCTTGTTCAAGGACACACAGGACGGGTAGACACTGGTGTTCCAAATGAGACCATCCCAGCTGAAAACTGACTCCTACCACACACCTACAGGGGGCAAAGCGACTGCTGTGCCCACAGCTTGGAAGTTCCTATACTGGCCCAAGAATGTGAACACTTTTTGAGAGATCAGTCAAACATGGCCCCAGGTACTGCAGCCAGGCTAGAATGCCCATCCTCCAACATCTTGAAGATGAAAAAATACTGATCTATCCCAGGATGATATGGGGGTATAGTTACCCAAAGCCTGACCCTCTAGTTGAATCAACTTAGGGGTACACTACTATACACCCATTAACATATACACCCTCTTAACATAAAGGAACATACTTCTCAAATGCTTTTTCCTTCTTCAAAGATGACATGGGGATGTCCTGGCTGAGTCCTTTTCTTTCAAATTTCAAATTCTGCATGGAAGAAGATTTAAAAAAAAAAAGAAAATTTTATAAAATTTATAAAATTTATTTAGCACACACTTGAAGTATCTGTGAGCAACTGGACTCTCTAAGACCAGATCATACCAAGACCTGAAGGTTATGTTTCCCCAACACAAATAAGAACAATGAAATTACACGTAGGGTAGCTGCATTTCCATGAAGCCTGAATTTCTTAACGCACATAATTGCTGCCTGGGAAATTACAGAACAATGGATGGCATAGCCAAAGGAAGACTGTTGATGAATATTCACAGAGGTTTCCTTCACTATTTCTAGTTCTTACTAACCAAGCCTTAACCCCAACCCGACCCTAACCCTAACTCATCATACTCCATATCCCATCTATCTATCTATCTATCTATCTATCTATCTATCTATCTATCTATCTATCTATCTATCTATCCCCTTTCATTTTTCTCTTTCTCCTTTCCCACGTTGGACTCTGCCCTAACACAGTATAATATGGTTTTACAATATGGACATGGACACATGATTACACATATGGAGCACTAAAGATACTACAGTACTTTAGTCGTGTACCCATTTCCAAAGTAAAACGAGAAATAATTACACTAGAACAATAGCCTCTTGATATTGGTGCAGATATAATAACAGTAGCTCACATGGACATCTTCTATGAGGAGGACGGAGGAAGAGCTGGACACAGCTAGACACAGTCATTGGCTGGGGTCACAGATTCCTGTGACTATGAAACCCTGACCAACAGATTTTGCATATTCTCTGATAGTCTCAAGGTCTGGAAACGGGTCCCTGTGGCTCTGCACCTTTGCCGGCTAAATTCCGGGTTCCATGCTTTGAATTTTCCTTCTGTTTTTAGTAACTTTAAGTACTTTAACCCGCTGATTTTCTACACCTCTCAATACATATTAGCAGCATGTGTTCATGAGCTGTCCCCTGATGTTTCCATTTGTCTTTTCATGAAGGTGGTCTATCTCTGTCGCTTGGTTTCTCATCCTGCTTCCTGCTGGTGAGTCTAAGGAGCCCGAGCCATCCTCATCTGATGAGGCCTTTGGTCCTTTTACTTGGCTTTGGAAGTCTCCCGTGGGTTTTATTGACAATTGCCTCATTTGGTGTACGTGAAACATCAGCTGTCTCACAGTTCCTTGTCAGCCGGAGGTACGATATGTTCGGCTCTCTAGAAATCTAGTATTATTTGATGGATTGTCTTTCTTCTCGGTGAACAGTATTCTGGGGCTTTGCTTCTGATACTTCTGTGGCCCTCACAAAAGCTTCAACAGTGGCCCTCTTGACTTCCCGAGCCAGAGTCTTTGTTCGTTCCAGAGTCATTTCGGTGTTGCTTGCTGTGTGAGAGGCTGATTGTTTCACAGTCTTCAAGATTTGACTTGTTTGGCTCTTACCTTGAGTTTATCTCTGTCCCATCACATTTTTCTACAAGAAGCAGCAAGAATCTACCAGACGGCATGCATATGCCTCAGGTTTGGAATCTCCTTATCTCCACCATCCATTTTCTAGGTATGGTCTCTATCTTCTTCAGAACTGCAGCAGGCAGTTGGCTACCTATCTCTCTGACACACCTTCAGAAGGATTGTATTTTCTCCATTTTGCAATGAAATTTTGTTCTTCTCACACAGGAAGGCTTCACCCCATGTCTGAAAGACTGAAAGTATTCTTGTCACATTTTTTCTTGAGATAATTCAGCCCTTCACTCAGGTCCTCCTAGAAGTTCACAGAGCATCTTTGAGGTCCCAGAGGATTTGGGCTTTGGGATAACCATGTTCCAGTGTTAGAACCAACACCTGATTAGAGTCATTATCTACAATCCATCCATGATGCAGTCTACGGCTCCCAAGTTTTCCTGAGACTGGAGACTGAAGGGAATCTTATGCACAGCTTTCCCCCTATACACCTGCATGGGAGAAGAAGCTATGGACAGTACAGGTCCAGTGATATGTATGTATGGAAAGGCCATCACGGAACCCATCATTTCATATAATGTTAACAAAAACCAGAAGGGTACACATACATCCATTTTAAAAAGATAAGAAATGCAGAGGTCTATAAATGATCAGTAAACAGAAGAAACCTCTGTCAAAGTAAGGATCACACACACAAACATATATAAAATATATATGTGTGTATACATGCCTACATATGTAGTCAAAGTGTATACAGCAAATCATCTATCTGTACCTTAAAATTCCATGTATGGTAGCAAAAGTAAATTATTAAATATTAAAATGCCCTTTAAGGTCACTGTCAGATCTTTTGTTTCTTCAAGTAATATAAATATCTACATGAGTTTTGCTACCAATTTTACATAAAATATTTTCTCTGGTCTTTTAAGCATTTAAAATTTCCCCAAACAATTATGCTTAGTTAAGTATGTACTAACCATTAATGTTGACATATTAAACCTTCATATGTCAATCATGCACATGCATTATTCTTGAACATGCCGAGCATACGTGTGCATATACTTAAGAGCTCTACTCTGGTCATTGAAATGAACGCCACGGAATGAAAATCCAAAGTTAAAGTTTTAAATAATGAGAATTTATAAAATATTATCCTTAATTTTATTTTTTTTGAGATTAAAATATAATCACATCATGTTCCCCTTCATTTTCCTCCTTCTAAACCTTCTCTCATACCCTTCCTTGCTTGCTTTCAAATTCATGCCTCTTTTTCCATTAATTGATTTTGATATGCATATCTGTATACAAACATATATATATATATATACATATACATATATGTCATATACACATGCATTCCTAAATGCATAAGTACAACCTGCTCAGTATATATAATGCTACCTATATATATGCTTTTCTGGCTAGTATTTGGTATTAGATAAGCAATTTGTGTGTTCTCCTAGATAAGCCACAGGTTCAGTGAGAAACCTGTCTCGAAAAATAATGTGGAGAATGATTGAGGAAACCAGTCAAAGTCAAACCTTGGCCTCCATATCACTCACACACACAAACACAAACAGACACACACACACACACACACACACACACACACCACATACATGAATACACAAATACATCACATAGGAAGAAAGATAGAGTAAAATTAGAAACAATGTTTGTCACAGTCCATTGTACCAACTTGTCAGAGCAAAGTACAGAAGTCTTCTGCTCTTTGCTCCTAATTTGCACTATAAGCCTGGCTAGAAACAGGTAGTAATGATGATGTTGTTGTAAAGATGGACTGCCCGGCAAGTTCCTCACCCAAATTAATTAGCTCATCACTCAACAGCAACACTGTCTTGTAAAGTCTCAAGGGAGGACAAAATATAGATAAGTTATTTGTTACAATTTAATATAAATGACCTTTATTGCAGTTCCCACAGAAGCGCTCACATCCATCTGAAGCCTGAAAGCCACAGTACTGTCAATCATGTCAGCATTCCCATCTTCTGAGCTCCCACCATAATCAGTTGTTAAGCTTAAATTGTAGCCATCTATAGATTTTTCTATCCTGCATCTCTGAACTTTTCAGATTTCTTGCACAAACTACCTAAAAATCTTCTTTTAAAAAAAGTATTTTCAGAAATATTCACTAGTCAAGAAAATCGGCTTGACTAGTCAGACTTTCTATCTCTATGGTTAGATAGCATATGCATCATAAGAAGAAATAATTATTTTGACTTCTAGTCTCAGAGGTTTCTGTTTATGGTGGGGATAGTGTGTCAGCCCAGAGGAGCTCATTTCACATATCCCAGAAGCAGAGAGGGAGAATGCTTTTGCTTGCATTATTTGGAAATTCCCTCTTTTCTCTTGGATTTCAATGCAGCAGCAAGCCTATGGGATAGCACTACTCCAATTCAAGGTGGATCTTGTTCTCTTAGTTAGTCTTTGTTAGAAATGTTCTCAGAGCCAAGCCCAAAGACGTGCTTTACTTGTCTTCTGGGCATTTCTCAGTCCAAACAATTCGAGAAGAAAGATTAATATTGCACTTACGTTTTGTGTTATACAACTAACGGCCCTGAGAAAATAATTCAGATTGAAGAATTAACCTGAGAGGCTTGATATTTTTTTAATTATGTGATAAGATGAACAAAGGAATTATACTCACAAACCCTCCACAAGGGACTTACATCATGATAGAAATTACCTGACACATGTTATCTACAATCCTGTTTCCTAGATTGATTTTTATTATACCTTTATTTAAAAAAGAAACAGAAAACATCAAAAATTCCAAATTAATTAACTAAAATATATAAGGAAATGTTACATGTAAGTTAATACCATGCAAGTTATTTTTAATTTGCTTTTTCATGACATACTTCCTTCTCTTTGAAACTAATAAAGGTCTCATCCCTGAACCAAAAAAGGATATTTTCATTGCTCTGTTTTGTGCTGCTGTAAGAAAATATGCTGTGTTTATAAAGAAAGTTTTGGTGTAACCCACAGTTTTGGAATTCTAAAGTCCAAAATCTCTTCAGCTCCTGGCAAGATTTCTACTAGATGAATTACATGGCAGAAAAGTGAAAAAGGGAAGCATCCTTACACAGAAATGTCCACAACAACGGGACAGATCAGCGTCCTCACAACCCACTCTTTCAGTACCACCCTAGTCCCAGGAGAGTCACAGCTGCTGCGGACAACTTTAGTCCATCCCACGGGTGGTGCCCTGTATTCTAATTGCCCTCTGAGCAGTTTCATTTCTCAGAGATTCACCACTACCCAGAACCTTGAGACCCATTATGCTGCACATGAGCCTTTGGGATCTCAGTCAAACCACATCCTAATCATGGCAGTGAGCACCCAGTATGTACAGGAGTATGCAAAAAGACATATGTCAAGAAAATACATGATTTGTCATGTTATTCTCAGAAATGTGTAATCAGATGCAAAACAAGCAAACAAACAAACAAAAAAAAATCCCTTGAAGTAGCTTGGAGAGGTGTGAAACCTAAGGACTGAAGAGCACAATATATATTATAAGTTTATGAAAACCAAATTCCCCGAATGTAT